GTGCGCGTGGTGAGCGTGGTGCCGGTGGTTGCTGTGGCCGCCCGCGCCCGCTGGGGCGCCGGCGCGCCCGTTCTTGGGCGGCGGCTCGTCGGCGGTGGCCACCACGGCGTCAAGCAGGTTGCTGAGCAGGAAGGCAGACGAAGGCAGAGCGTCCATGCCCGCCGCCTCAGCTAGTACTACTTTCTGGTCGCACACGGGGCAGCGCAGCTTAAGCGGCTCTCCCGGCGCGCCGCCGCCGGCGGCCGGCAGCCGGTGCGCCTCGAGGCAGGGGCGGCAGAAGGCGTGCAGGCAGGGCAGGACGTGCAGGCGGCGCGCCGCCGCCCCAGGGCCCCCGCCGCCGCCCCCCGACGACGTGGACGTCTGCGAGGAAGAGGACGACGCTGAAGAGTTGGAGGAAAGCGGCGCCGGTGAGCCGCACATCTCCTTGCACAGCAGGCAGATCTGGAAGTCGGTCTCGGGGAACGAAGCCATTTGCAACCCAGCCCAGAGGAGGGAGGAGACCAAAGAGGAAGAGGAGGAGGAGGAGGAGAGAGCGGACCAAGAGGGTGGGGGAGCCGACTCACTCAGAAAAATGCATCGATTAGGCCTGCAATCCGGGAGCCAGCACTAGAGCAGCGTTGCCCGCTTGGCCTCGCCACGTCCGGCCCAAGCGCTGCCACCCCTGACGCTACAGGCATTAAATGCCACTATCCAGCGGCGACACAGATTCCTCCCGGAGGACTTGGGGGCCGCGTGCCTTCCGAAGAGGGAACGCCGGAACAAGCCTAGACACGCAAGGGGTGAATGAGGGCAGGGAGGTCAGACGACTCCCTGGAGCAGCCGGGGCTTCGCTTCGCGATAGCCAAGAGGAGTCCCCAAAAGGAGAGTCCGCTGTGCAATCCCAGTCCAGGCGAGAGCAGAATTTGGTTCGACGAGTATTTGGTGCGTTGCTTTTCTTTAAACGGATTTAGTCTCTTCTTGGGAGGGGAAGGTGCCCCAAAGTAGTAAAGGCGGGAGCGGCGCGTCGCCAAGCCCGTGTCCCCCCGCGCGACGCCGGCCGTCCCGCCGCATGACGCGGCGGCCAGGGGCTCCTGGGTGGCCCGGCGTGCTGTGCTTAGGGCTTGCGCACGGCCAGGCGCGGCCTCCCCTGCAGGGCGCTCGGCCCTGCAGCAGCTGCAGCTAGTGGTGGCCCAGCCGCGGCCGCACGCGTGCAGTACGCACGCGCGTCTCACGCGCCTCGAGTCTCCCGCGCGCCCGCCCAGCCGGGCCGAGGCTGCCCGCGCTTAACACGCACGCGCGCCCCACGCGGCCCGGGGCCCTCGTGCCCCCGCTTGACTGGGCCTGGGCGCTTCCTGCACGCTCTTTCCCGTCCTCCCGTCCGGCTTAGCCGCGCTGCAGCGCGGGGCCGCAGGTCCCCGCGGGCCGCCCTGAATTATTCATCGGCAGGAAGATATTAGATGTACCCGCTCCGCGCGGGCCGTCGTGCAATGCTATCCGAGCTCCGCGCGCGCCCTGCGCCCCTCCTCCTCCTCACGTCCGTCCTCTCTGAAACCTTGGCAGCGAAGGGGATCACATTTCCTTTGTCATCGGGCCATTTCACCCTCGCCTTGGTTCCCCCTCCGATCCCAAGCCACGGGGCTGGAGCCTCCTCCCGGGCGCGCTGGAATCAGTGGAATCGGCAACGGCCCCGCGCAGCGAGCTCCGGAGCAGCGTGGCCGACGCAGCTGGCTGGCGCCCGCGTCATCTTCTCTCTGAAATGAGTCGCCGATCAGGACGCGGGTGGCCCCGGCCGCGCAGAGCCTACCGGGCTTTGCTCCCGTCGTGCCCTGGCCTCCTGGGGCTTTGCACAACTCCCCCCAATTCGGGTTGCGTGAGCGCGCGCGCGCCCCCTCTTTCTCTGGTTTGCCGCCTCTTCCTCCTCTTCCTCCTCCTCTTCTCTGTGCGCTGGTTATTGGGACTGATCGGAATTCGGAATCCTTTTAATCTCCAAAGGAGCAAACTCACTTCCGCCCGAGTGCTGGGAGGGGGCTGGGGGAGGGGAGGCAGGGGAGGGGGCTCCAGGCAAACAGGAAACATTAGCCCTCTCTGCACGGCCTGCTTTTGTGTGCTCCCTCCCTCCTCCCTCCGACCTCCTCCCTTCTCTCGGCCGCTGGGGAGATGAACGCCCCCGGGCTTCAGTGTGACGACCTTTGAAACCTTCTGAGCGAGTAGTGGAGAGCTACTCTTCCGTTTATTTAAAAAAGAAAAGAAAAGATTTCATTCTGTATCCCTGGCTTTACGGAGGCTGATATCCACTGCCCGGGAGATCTGGGTTTCCCCCCACCTTTTTTTTTTTTCTTTTTACGTTTTTTAAGGACTCTACATATCTGAGATCAACACCGAAACATCACACAGTTGTGTGCAGATGGATGTGTGGAACTGAGCGAATCTGAATTCTGATCTTCAGAGGGGCCAGTTCCCTATTGAGTTTTAATGGGGGTAGGAGGAGGAATGGGGCAGCTGTTCTGGGAGGCGACCTGGTGACGGCCCCGCGGCCATCTGGGTGGTTCCCGAGGCTGCCTGGGCGGTTCTGGAAGAGGAACTTGCTTGGCCCTGGAAAGAGACTGACTTGGAAGGGCAGAAAGGGCCACTTAACCAGAATTTAGGGAATATCTGGACTGGAGGTCAATGAGGGAGGGAGGAGCGTATAATTGCCCCGGACTTACTCTTGCTGTTAGTGACATATCTTGGGGTCTATTTAAACTGGTGTAGGCAACAACCTGATGACTTTCCAAAACATCGGTGTTGGAAGAAAGACGCCAAACACAAAAGAGTTCATACTGTGTGATCCTATTTATATGGGAAGTTATAGAACAGGCAAGACTAAGCTGTGGGATAGGAAAAGTACCCTTGGGGATGAGGAGGTTTTGACTGGGAAGGGGATTGAGAAAACCTTTTGGGGTAATAAAAATATGCTGGTGTATATGTACATTTGTCAAAACTTATAAATGCCACTTAAGATGGGGGCACATTCTCACTGTGTATAAATTACACCTCAATAAAAATAATAAATCTTTGGTGTCTTGCATAACCATGTTGGATCGTACTGTTGGAAACATTTAAAAATACACTAAATAGACATCCCCCGCCTATCCGATTTTGCTCCTTGGAATCCAAGTAGAGATCAACCTGGAAAGAGCCCTTAAGTCAACCCAGCTGGACAAACGCGCTGAAGGCCTGAGGAAGCTACAGAAGCACCTCCCTAAAAGGACAAAGCCATTTCAGAGGCCCTGGTGATGTCCTGAGATGGGAAGAACTCCCCAGACAAAGAGTCTGGCAGCCTTACCAGGAAGGCCCATGTCCTCACCTACCCTACAGAGCGCTGTCCTGGAACAAAACAAAAGATCTGTGACCAGTCACTGAACTGTGTGAGGAGTGGAAAAATTATTGATCAAATAAAACCAGAACAGATCCCTCCTTTGCCAAATGAAAAAGCAAGCATTAGCTTGGTGCCTGTAGCTCAGCGGCTAAGGGTGCTGGCCACATGCAC